GAGAGGAAGACCAGAGACTTTTTTCATCAGATAAAAGGTAACAGGAACAAACAGCCACATCCTGTGCTTTTGAGGACTTCTCCCAAAGGATAGGGCCTCCACTCTTGGAGGCCACGAGCCTTGTCTTGGTTTCCCTATTTCCGAGGTACCCATCACAAGGCCAGAGAACTCTGCCTTTCTACCCTTTCCTGCTCTTTGGCTTGATGGTGGCCTGACTGTTGAGAACCACCTGGGCTCCCGGTGGCCTGTTTCTGGATGGCTGTTTTGCATTAGTGGTTGGGTCATATGACTGATGAGAGAAAATGGTGGTTTGGTGGCCAGTCTGACCAAAGAGATTGTCACCTACTAGGAATCTGTGTGGAATAAGATGGATCATCAAGGAGTCTCAGTCACTAGGAGTGTGCATGGCATCCATAGTGGTTCTAGAAGAACAGAAAAGCCTCCAAAGCCCTAAAGAAGGGCCTGTTGTTAGAAGCCTGAGGGWGGGGGTGGATTTAGCTTTGAAGTAGCAAGGGGCGAGGCCAAGGCTCRAGGGAGAGCAGGTGATGGCAGGAACATTTCACAGGGTGGTGGAGAGATGAAGAAGWCACACAGGCCAGGAGCTGTCCRTCCCAATAGGCTGCTGCAACATTCTTTTCAACAGGGCTTGGATCAGCACGGTGAGTACAGGCTGTTTTCATCTAAATTTTAAGCCCTTAAAATACAGGGCTTACTCCAGGCCAGTTTGATAGACAGAATGTTAAGTTTACTGTACAGATAAAATAGAGAACTGATAGAAACTGTCATAGAAAGAACAACTTTGAGCTTAAAAGGGCCCTTGCTCATTTGCTCAAGCTTCCTTCTTCCTCCCTTCCTGCCTCTCCTGCCACAAAAGAGGAGAACAAACTGCTACCAGCCTCAACCGCACTTCCTTTTCTGTTTGTCTCCCCATCCTCTTCTGCTATTTTCCTCCACTGTCTTGCAGGCTCCTTGGCCTCCTCCCAGTGCATCTTCCATCAGTGCCCTTAGCTGGCACTAGCTGAGAATACCAGCCTTGGGCCTGACCATTGGCAAGCTCCTGCTCCATTTTCCTGTGTCAGAGAGCGACTGGRCTGCTGTTGCTGCAGAATGCACCCCCTACCCCTTCCCAAGAAAGGGGCACAGAAAGGAAAAGAGAATGAATGACTTGGGGGTTAGGGACCCCAGCTGATGGGTCAGGAAAACTGAGTGGATGTAAATCGTGTCACCTTCCTGAGGCTCAGACTATCTTTAAATAAGAATGATAATAGTAACCCCCACAGGGTTGTTGTCAGGCTGAACATCACGAGAGTAGATGATGGTTCTGCGTAGGAGCAGACTGAGTAGTAYCAACACCACATAGTGCCTTCTTCCTTTTGCAGTTTGATTAAACKGGTCCTGCTGGGGAACAGCAATCAATGGGTGGTTATAGCAGAGCATATAGGTTGAACTGGGACTGACCTCCCCGTCCCAGTGAGAACTAGGAAAACCTCCAAATTTTTGTAATTGCCACAGCCACCCATCCCCTCCATAGGAAGCAGTCTYATAAAGAGAATCAAAGACTTCTTTTCTGGAAACTCAGAGTTTTGGCTGGTGCTAAAGAATTGCCGGTTACTTTGGCAATGTTCAGATTCCAAGTCAAAAGGAGCCCAAGTCCTCCTGAGTCCCTGCTCCTATGTTCTGAAAGTGAGAAGTTGAAGTCAGGGAGACTGACTCACCCAAGGTCAATGTCAGGGCAGGGCCCTCACCAAAGCTCTCTCTTGCAATGGCAGAGTCCTGTGATTAGCAGCTTAGACTGTGGAGACAGACTTGGGGGGGGTCTGAATCCCAGTTCTTCCATTGACAAGTGGTGTAACTGTGGATCAGTGACTTACCCTTGCTGAGGACGTAAAATAAATGTCAGCATAGTAAAGGAAACACAGGAGCATTCAATAACATATGTTGTAGTTTTCCTCCAGAGATGTGAGAGAAAGAACCCAAGAGTGATCTGGTTCGATCTTGTCCCAAGCTCCAGGATAATCTGTCATCTGTCAAAGCCTTGTCATCTCACAGAGTTGACTTAGATTTAGGCATGCTATTTTGGTTTTCCCCAATAATCCTAAGCCATGTTTTCTTTTTATTAAATATTTACTTTTTAAATAAATACCTACAATATGGGTGAGATATAAAAACATTAAAATGAACATTTATGCCCACCATTCAACTTAAGACATAGGCCACTGCCATTGTTTGGAAACCCTATGTGCCCCTTCACTCCAATCCCATTCTAAGATAACCACACATCTGACTTTTACATTTATTATTCTCTTTGTTGGTTTTGCTGCATATGTGAGTATCCTAAATAACATTTTGTTTTATATGTCTCTAACCTTAATGTGAATGAAATCATACTACCTAAGCTTCTTTAGTTTGTCTCTTCTCAAATTATTATCTATCCATAGTGATATATATGAAGTTCACCAATTTTTACTGTTGAGTAGTACTCCATTATGTGACTATGCCACAATTATTTATTTTTCTTTTGAGGGAAAATTGGGTTACTTCCAAGACTTTTTTTTTTCTTCTAGAACAGTGCTTCTATGAAAATTTGTGCACATGACCTTGGCCTACATTATTAGGAACACTCACATTTATGATCTATACAGGGTCATAGATATGTTATCAGATTTACTGGAATAATCCCAATGGTTTCCAGAGTGATTACACCTTATATTTTATTTCAGGTTGGAAGGGTCCATTTGTCATCTGTCAATCTTCTGATATACTAATTTCCTCATCCATTGTGCCTGTAGGTCAGGTCGGAATGCTTATCATGGTGTGCTGTTCCACATGTGCTAGAGAAGCAGGCTGTGGYCTCACCTCATTTATAAGTCACCAAGGGTTCCTTTCCACACTTGCACGGAACTTCCCGGGAAGCCAGTTGCAGGTGTAGAGCTATTGTGGAAGGCCTGGAACACCAGGTGGTTATACCACACACCACGGGGGGCAAAAGGTCCAGTCTGGAAAAGCAGACTCTCATTTTCATCATGTCAGACTAAATACAGTAAAAAGAAGAAAGACAAGTGGCTGTAAAAAGAAAAAGCAGAAGTGTGACCCTTGCGCCTGTCTTTTTCTCTGGGGAAATAAGAAGTTGCCAACCCAGGTGCTGAAGAGAATGGTTTAGTGGGGACAAAAGTCAAGGGGCCAATGGGTGCACTTTACAGTACTTCAGAAGAAGTGAGCTGAGTGTGACTATCCCTTCAGTGCAGCCCAGCTTTCCCGGTCTTTGATGACAATGTGTGTGCCTTGACCATATTGATTTCCTTGTTTCTTTCAGCTAAGAGCTGTGGGAAAGGAATAGCAGTGGTYTGGAGCTCTTTTAGAATATACTGCAAGAAAATCAAGCTGCTGGACTGGGGGGAAATAAACCATCAGAGGAAACAAAGGGCTTGCATTTTTTCTCATGAAGATTGTCTGCTCTCTTGTTGGCCTGGCCAGGCAGACAGTCCCTACCCTTCCACATCTGGTAGAACCAGAAATTGACAAGCAGTTCATGACTGTAAATAATCAAGGTTACCTGGAGAACTATAGGATCTCRGTGCAAAGAGGAGGCCAGGAGAGAAGAAATCCATCTATGTACCCACTTCTACCACTACCACGGCTGCTTCTCCTTGTCCTCCTCCTCCTCTGCCTCCTCTCCAGCYCCCCCTCTTCTGTCTACTCTTTCTCCATCTTGCTTCAGCCAGACTTTGAGTCTGTAACAGAGAGGTAACTGGGACCCCTCTTCTTTGTCCCCTTGTATGTTYTTCAGGCCCAGGAGAGGGCTGGCCCCTTGATGGAGGTGGCACACTTGCATTTTCCTTCATAGAGGTGACCAGGGCGTCCCTGTTTGCTGCAGGGAAGTATGCCCAGGGACAAAAGGAAGAGCCCTTCTTGTTGCCATTCTCCTTGACCCTAACTTTGCCTTCTGCTCTTTCAATGACAGATAAGCCCGATTTTTCAGATCAGGCAGAGGAATTGTGAAGTCTTCCAGGAGGGAAGTAGAGCTTCCTGGGTGGGTTCGGCCAAGGCCATAGCAGGTAGGGTTCCCTCCGCCTTGCCCCACCTGTCAGTACTCGGGATGCCCCTTGTCTGGCATGCCGCTGGGTCTGATGAAAGGATAACATAAGCCATGGGTAAGAATAGGACAAAGGCAGGGAATGGCGTGACACTGCTTTTTAGAAGACATCCTCCTGATGTTGGAATTGCAGTTTGGGGAAATAGATGAATACATCCTGGTTTTATTTGAGAGCACCAGGATATCACCAGGGGAGCTCTGAAATCCACCAGCTGATAAGGAGGACACACCATTTATAATGGAAATCATCTTCCCTGGCCCAGGTCACCCCTTCCAATGATCTTGCACCAAGAATTGCCCATCCCATTTTAAATAGAACCCCAGGTTAAAAATGGGAGTTCATAGCTCACTTGAAACTAATGTTTGAAATATGATATGTCAAGAGCTTTGTAAGGTTTTGAACAACCAATAGAAAAAAAAAATAGAACCCCAGGAAAAGACTCTGACTTTCTGAGTAAACTCTTGCTATGGTATCTCTGCCACCCTGATAGACATTTGGAGGAACAGTGCTATAAAAGTCCCCCTTTCATGTCATAGTTCTATAAATGGAAAAGGCTTATCCATAACTTGATGCAAATGTTCAGGAAGTCCCCAAAAGACATTCAGATGGAATTGATTATTCTAAGTTCTTTCTTGAGCCAAGGAAGTTCTGCTGACAGCCGGACACCTGCTAAAATTGGGGACTACATGTATGTGGGACAAACAGGAMGTAGTGACCAGCCAGCAGCATTGTCCCAACCTGGTAACAACCCTGATTTTAAAAGAAAGCAGCTGGAAAGAAATCTGCATGGCCAATAGGTTTCACTATCAAAGTTTACACAACGTGGAGTAATCAGCCAAGCTGGCTGGCTGGCTCTCCAGGTCACATGATTACATAGAAACATGAAACTTGACTATGTGCTCCAGCAAGTTTTACTTCTCCCTAGTGCAGGGGTGTTTGCCAGCAGCCTGCACTCTCAGAAGTCAGATCCAGTGACTGAAGCCCTGAGATCAGAGGCTTACCATGCTGCTCCCTAGGAGGGCCAGGAACTGCTGACATTACCACGGGTTGGCAACTCGTGTCCCTCATCCAAAAGAATGGACAAGCTTAATAAGATAACTGTCCCAGCCAGTCAGAAGCTGAGGTAAGATTTTCTCATCTGGTACTTACCGCACCTCCACCTCCCCATCCCAGTGATCTTATAGCTTCTCAGAAACCCTGAAACCCTGGAATACTCTGCTACTTTGAAGGCAGTGGGTGGCAACTACTATGGGGAGGCAAACTGGGCTTTAAAAGACATGTGTAGGAGCAARTCGGCTAGCTCTAGCTCTGGCTTTTGCCAGTGATAAATATAAGGAGAGACAATGAAATAGAAAAAAAACAACGGCTCAGGTTCTACCAAAGGTCAGCTTTCAGAATGCAACAGACTTTGCTAATGCAGAGTATGTCTAAACTGAGTCTGCACCAGCTTCACTGTGGATTACTACTGAATTTTCAGGATAGTTGTAATCATGTGTATTKTTTTAGTTTTACTGTCATTTATTTCATGTATATTCATCGCAAGTTTATTGGGGGGACTTTATCTGCCCTCATGATATTGTCACAATGGTTTTGTAAAAACAAAACAAAACCAGAAGTGGCCTAAGGGCATAAGTCAAGGAGATATGGAAAAGGCAACTTCCCAAAATTTGATTTCGAAGATTTTCTTTTTGGCTTACTATAATGACATCATGGCTTGTGGAAATTGGAACTTTRAAATGGGCGGAAGTGTGCTTCGTCCCACCTGCACACCAGAGCTTCAGTTTCCCATGGGGTGAGGTGACATGGGTAGCAGATGAGTTCTCAAAAATAATTAGAAACTGAAGAATTGAAGTTTTTAAGACAACAATTAAGAGCAATTAGCCTGGAATTGGCAGAGGAACAGCCCTTCACAGTTAGRATCTGGGTCTTCTACCTGGTTGGGGCTTGATAAGAGGCCGGTCAAGATCCTCTGTGATCTGCAATGAGCAGGCAGCTCCARCAGGGCAGCCGTTATTTCCATGCTGAGAGCTGCTGTTGAGAGCGTGGAGCCATCAGCGCTGCTGGGGGACAAGGAGGAGGTGCCCCAGCTGCCTTGGGTCTTTGGTCTCGGTAGCTGTTCCCCCATGGGAGGGAGGTAACACAGTGGAAGTAGTAAGGGACACCATRAGCAGAGAAGAGAATTGGAGAGTGGAGAGATTTCCATGGACAAGACATGTCAAGAGCTGGGATTTGAGAGACGGACCAGAGTAGAGCAGGGAGAGAGTGACAGGCTGGGAGGGTGGAAATGCAGAAGCTGACACAAGTATGGCCCATTTGTGGGATGGTGAGAAGAGTCTTCTGCTCAGCAGAGGCTGGAGAGTGGGATGTGTGGAGCCAGAAGGTCCTAATAAGGTTGGATGTGTAGGGTGGGGACAGTTGGGAACTTACCATGAAGGTTCTAGTCACGGAGCTGGAGAGCCCGCTGCTGTGTTGCTGGAGACGTCATGCCTTCAGGCTTGGGGGWGGGGGTAGCAGGAGGGATCAGACCGAGGAACCTGGAGGCAGGGATGCTGCAGGGGTGGGGGAGACTCAAGTAATCCAAGCATCTAGAACTGCGGGCCTGGACCTGGGCASAGCAGGGAGAAGGGAAAGAGGAGAGGTGGGTAAGATGGGAAAGAGAAAAAACTAACAAGGCACCATCTCCAAGGAGTAAGAGGGTTCCAAAGTTTTCAGACATATTCCACAACCTGAAGCTACACTAAGCCTTGGTAACTCTTTCAGGAAATCCTCATGGAATCTAAATAAAGAAAGGCAATAGAAGGTAAATCATTTTATGATCCCTCCCTCTGGGACAAAGTCCAGCTTGATCACAGAGTAGCTGATAGGCAATATGAAACCATAGATTAGAGGACAGAAAACCAAAATTATATGGTGGATAATCATACACTACACTCAGCTGCTGAGAGAAAAGTAGCTTTCCCCCCACTTGGTTACTAAGTTGTCTTAACAGCATAGGCTTGTTTTCATAAAACATGCACCGTCGACGTGGAACTTTCCAAAGAAATGAAATTGTAAACACAAGGGACTCAAAACATCATCCTAGATCTTTCCTGTAATTGTATGACCCGGTGAGGAATGGATAGATGGAACACATGCCCCCTAGGACTTGTGTCTTCTCTTTTTCCCGGGTTAAGACTGATTCAGAAGATCACCTACTGTGCAATTATTTGGCACCAGCTGACAATATACATAGACAGCTATGTTTATACTCTTATGCTTGTTAAAGTTATATTGGAATCTGCTCAAATTCTTAGCCAAAAAAAAAAAATGACAATGAGTGTCCATCCAAGCATCAGAAGGGAGGACCCTGGCCCACGGGGTATATTTCCAGGTCTGAAATGAGAATGGAGGCAAAAGGAGTGACCAGGAGAAAAACAGAGTGRACCAAGGAAAAGAGRGCAGATAGGATTAGAAGGGAAGTAGAGGATTCTTGAGATGAAGGAGAAAGGAAAAGTTCCCGAATGGAAGGCTGAGGTGAGCTCTCACCTCGAGTGTCTGTGTAGAGGAGTTGAGACGGGCAAGGGAGCTGGGCATGACCACARAGATGTTTGCTTCCACCAAAGCACAACGTGAGGTGGGCTCCCGTGTGAGGGGGAGTTCACAGACTCTCAGGATCTTCTAGTGGATTCTTAGCTGTGGTTTTCTCTTGCATTTTATAAGGTGGTGATATCATTAGAAACCCTTCTGGGTTCTCGATTCTTCCACAGTAAACATTGTTCTTATGATCTTAAAAATTTTACACTTCTAGGTGAACATTTCAAATTTTACAATCCTGAAGCACATTCAAATTCATTCTTTTCAGTTTCGAGAAACCAATTTGAAGGGGAAATTTTCCATTTGTATAACTTCCAAATTTGCTCATCATTTGTGCTTGTGGTTTTTTTTTTTTTTTTTTTTTTTTTTTTTTTTTAGCACACATGCACTCACACATACTTGCTTATTTTACAAGTAGAAAAGGTCTTTGACACAAGCATGTTCAAATCAGGTCTCCCCAATCCTCATCTTATTGGATAAAGAGTATAGTGTTTTTCAGATAGACAAATCAAGGTGTTTGTGACTTTGGGCCTCCCTCACCTACCTGTAAGGTAAAGATGATAATAACAGTATAAATGTCACGGGACTATTATAAGGATTAAGTAGTCTTGTGAAGCGATGACACAGTATTCCTGGCACATGGCAATTATTGAATTTAAGAATAACAGCTATTAATATTATTACCATCGTTACTCTTATTAATTCTGTGCAGTTGATTTTCTGAACATGAACAGTGGATTTTACATTGATTCCTGATAAAGTTGGTGCTAGTTTCATTTCTTCTTTCTGACTATTTTGTCTATTGATTCTGTGACCATCTGTGGTATTTTGCTTTGCATGGATTATAGACATGACAGATATCCCTCTCTCAGCTGTCATCTAAGTGGCCGGTAAAACTGTTGAGCATGAGAGAGTCCTGCCATGGGTGCCTGGGTCTTGGTGCTAGGGTGCTCACCCTGAGATTTGTCAGTTGCTGGGATATGTTTTCTCTTCTCAGGTCTTAGAATTTTCAACTGGAGTTCCCAGTTCCTTGACTTCTCAAGTTCAGTTCTTCAGAAACAAATTCRACTTCTTTTAACCTCTCCATCACTAGCTCCCTCCCTGGTCCTTCCTGTTTCTGTCATGGTTTCATGATSGACTCTGACTCTGACTCATCCTCCCCTCTGCTTCTCTCTGCACTTCCACCCAAGCCCACTCACCTACCACGCCCCGGAGTCTTKCCTTTTTGGCACTTCTGTGTTCTTCTCTCCCACAGGATCCTGGACATATTCTCTTCTCTTCTAGGTCCCCTATGTTTGTCTGGTCCAAATTCCTCTACAAAATGCGGAGCTTGGACCAAACAATTCCCCAAATCCCTCTCCACTCGGATGCTATTCGATYCTTGCAGCACAGAGATATATTAGGTATGTCATAGTCTCTAAGGTTACCATTTTATCCCATGACCCCCTGGAGATACTTCTTCATTAATTTGGAAGGAAGATGCAAGTAGAGTCCAAAAGGGTTGATTCCAGTGGTCGGTTACTAGCCATGGGTCCTGAAGAAGCCATTTAGCACGCCCCAGTTTCCCCACTTGTCAAGTGAGATTAGGCCTGTCTTCCTCAGGCTTATTATGAAGACAAATAGGACGACATGGGCCAAAGTACCCAGCATAATTGATACCACCGGGTCAGTACGAGAAGTAAAAAGAAAGTGAACCCAAGAGCCAGGACCTYAGCCCACCCATTGTGAGTGGTTGTTTGTCATCTCTTCTCCTCCTCCCATTATGGATCCATTTCCCCCTTAACTGGAGCAGCAGGCAGGGCAGGGATGCRAACAGGAGCCACAGCACCCAATGGTAGAGATGGACAGCCCACCCCACCCCAGGCAGCCTGGCTTCCCATTCACCTCACACTACCTACCTGCCTCATGTCCACTGAGAATCTACCCAACTGACTGTTTTGTGTCACAATGATGAATGGAATGTTTGGAGCAACTGGACAAGGATCCTTTCTTCTTGTGGGAGAAGGAGACACATGATCAGAAATTTACTTAGTGAGTGTGGACTTCAGGGTCATCGGCCAAGAAAACTCAGACGACCCTCTCACCCATCTGTGCATAAGTATGGTTGGAAGACACTAAAACATGTCTGTGTGTCTGAGGCACCCTCTGTCCTGATCCAACCACTGATGCGTGCTACGTTGGAACAGCTCCTTCCTCTTCATGCAAACCATCTCCAAAAGGGTTGGGATATAATTAATTAGGTTAGGTTGCCAAGAGTTGAGCTACAATTGCATTCCAGCCCTGCCCCTAGATCAATCAGAGATTGGAGGAGGCCGGTACTGAATGCTTGAGGCACACATTCATAGTCTCTTGGGTTTTCCCCACAGATGATTAACTCCATTGACTACATGGAGAATTTACTCATTTGGTTTTCTCTCTCCYTCCCTCCCTCTCTTTCTCCCCCATCCCCTTTTTTGGTGCTGGGGATTGATCCCAGGGTTCTTAATCACTGAGCCATACCCCCAGCCCTTTTTATTTTTCATTTTGAGACAGAGTCTCACTAACTTGCTT